CAGCAGCCAGCTCCAGATTTACTGGAAACAAATATCCACGCTATTTTTCCTTATTACTGATGGCAATGAGTCATTTAGACTGTGAGTCCAGCACTGGTCTCCTCTGATACTGAGGTTTTTAGCTTTGCCAGAAATTGCAGTGTGTCCAGGCTGTTGCTGAGCTCAGTGGCACTGTCAGTTGTACATCTTTGCTTTACAGCACCTTGCTGTGCAACAAGAACCAGGAGTCCTGTTTACAGTCGTGCCACCAAGCCATTACTGTGTGATATAATTGATTACCAGCCTGTTTGGAAATGGTTTCTGATGCTGGCACACTGCCATCTCCTTTGATTTTCAGCTCACACTTGGAAGTCAAAAATCCTGCCCCAAAGAAACTAAATTCTCATACTTAATTACTATTCAAAATATTTACTCATTGTATTGCAATTTGAGAACGCTGTATTAAGTCTATTATGGGAAATTAATATATTCTTATTCCATTTCTCCTGAGAGTCTAAACTTGAAAGGAAACTGCTGCATTTCATACCTTCTGTGTGGAGCACGAGGAATGGGAAACCTCTATTGTGTGTCGGTATTGCTGGGACAAAAGCTCTAAATCAGTGTGTGTGTGTGTGTGTGTGTGCTTACAGTGAACTACGTGCACGCAGAATACTTCCTGACAAATTTGAAATTCTTATACGATTATTCTCCTTGTTACATTCTAAAGTCTGGGTTTGCAAATACATTTCTTAAATGGCTGAACTGCTGAAACAAGGTAGTTTTTGAAATGTTACATAAGTTAAATGTACTTGTTTTGTTTTTTCTCTTCAGTTTTTAGCTTTATCAAACAAAAATGCCAAAATTATTCCTAGAATTCTTCAGGGCTTAGTACAATTAGAGGTGTGCATTGTTTATAAAAATACAACTAATTTTGAAGCATTTTTCCTGGCCAAATTCTATTACATATCCTACTGTCCTTCCCTTCACATCAGTGTCCACAGACAACAAAGACTAAAACAGTTCCCTTTCTGGCACATGTCTTGTTTTAACTGCAGATGGAAATGAATCGGGAGGCTCAGTGGTTTTGTCTTGTGAGAAGAAGCAGTGACACACAGTCCACTTAGCTATTTCTTAGTAACTTAAATTTAAAAGCAATGCTCTGTTATTAAAACTCAACTAATCTGTCATTTTTGAAAGTTATAATAAAATGGGGAGGGGGGGGGGAAGGTCTCTCCTAGAAGCTGTGGTTACAAAAATAATAAAAAATTTATTCTGAGTAAATAATGTATTTTATTATCTGGATGCTTGCTTTATGTGAAATTGTTAAGGATCTCTGTATAATCCTTGAAAGTCTGTTTAGTCACCACTTCATTTTATCATATGCTAATTTTTAAAAGGCATGTTTCAAACGTGTCCAGGTCATGCAATTTATGAAAGGGATAATCAGGTGTTTCTATCAAAAGAATCCATTCCAACATGGAATGTCAGCTTAGGTATGACTTCATGATGCTTCTACAAAGATGTTAAAATAATGGAAGAATATCCCTTCTCTTGTCTTTCAATTGAACAAACTTAGGAGCATCCTCTCAGTTGTTCAATTGAACAAACCTAGGAGCATCCTCTTTTCCAAAATAGTCTTCTATCCCCTCCTAAACCTTTCCCAGAATAACAGGAGTTTCACTGCTTTAATCAGTTACCTAGTAGTAGTATTTTCAATAGTACAGATTAAGAAGAACAAGGACAAAAACTTCTGAAGTCATAAACCTTTTTCCACTGGTGATGTGAAGGACAGTTGATCATACTGTCTAGCTTTGTAGATTTTATTTTTTTTTAATATATATAAATAAATTAAAAGCAAGCCTCTAACCTGCAAGGATTTAGATCATACTTTATTATGGAGATAATGAGTTCTGTTACATCTTTTAGTCATATCCCTATAGCAAAATAAACAAAGTGTAATTCCATAAGCTTTACATAGCTTTAGCTGCTATACCTAGCATGCTGGTTAAATTATGAGTTTGATAAAACAATGACATCTTTACCATTAGACTTCAAGGTTCTGCTTTCTTTTGTGTAGCTTATCATGGGCTAAAAATGTATGGTTTTAGGTGGGGTAAGTTCTTCAAGATAAGACTGTCTGTGTTCATACTATTGCCTACCTCTGCTTTCTCTTGGAGTTAATTTGCAACTTTGACCCAGGAAAACTGAAACTAAAGGAGCCCCAGCACCAAGCACTCTACTGTTGTTGGACATTTTACAATAAAACTAAAAAAGGGAGAAGTGGAGGGGAAGGTAAGTATTGCAGTGAAGATAATGGAGATCCATATGAAAGCTTCCACTAGAGTTGTACTTCTAGAAATCACTGAAGTATGCATGTGTACTTCAATGACATGAAACCAATGCTGTGAGGTTTTAAAGAGCTGTTTCGTCTTTAGGTCACATTGGAATGCTTCAAGCTACTCAAATGACTCAAGAAGTTACAATCAGAGATTTGGAATCAGAAAAGTCTAGATTAAAAGAAAAACTAACCCAACTGGAAGAGGAAAGAAACTTACTACAAAGCAAAACACAGAGTCTGGATGAGCGACAAAGGCAGCAAATTCTGGCCTTGGAAAAGGTTAAACAGCTTATTGGCTTTAGTTGAATAAAAACAAAAGACCTAGAATTATAAGAGAAAATGATTATGTTTTAATTTTTGTTTGATGTGACCTGGACTAGGACCAGTAGTAGTATGTTCCAAGTGTATCTCATGTAGCAACATAGAATGACTAATGTAGAAGTGTAAAGAGAGAGTAGAGAGAAGTCAGATTAGATGTTGTTCAGACTGCTTTGGACGTCTTTTAACAATTTTGTTTAATTTATGACCTCGTGTGTAGATGCGTAGTAGCTAAAGTGTCTCAGTAAGGAGAGATGTGACATGGTTAAAGAACAATTTAAAAAGCTATTCTCTGAAAACCTGCTGGACTTGTTTGAAAATACTGAACTGAAATTTTCTATAGGCTTGATACCTGAATGCTGTTTCCCCAGATTAAATAGAGCAAAAAAAAAAATATTTTAGTATAGATATATTGCTTTGCATGGAAATATTGAAACTGCCTTTTTGGTTATTGAATTATTTAGTCAATACTTAGTGTTTGCTAAATTTGTTTTATATGGAAGTTAATTTCTGTAGGTTTATTTCATCAGTAATGTTGTTGTATTTTTTCCTCGTACTCTTCAGATTTTTTTTTTAACCACTTAATAGAAAAGGTTGTATTTTTCTCTGTCTTTTATAGAAAGTAAATGAAGCAAGGGAGACACAACGTGAATATTATGAGAAGGAGCTGGTAAAATTGCAAGCAAGATTGGAAGGAGAGGCTGCACAGTTAAAGGAGGCTCATTCTAAGACCTTAGAAGAATTGGCATGGAAACACCATACTGCAATTGAGGCTGCACACAGTAATGCTAATAAAGATAAGAAAAAACTGCAGATGGTAGGTTTGTGTTTTCTTAATAATCAAACATATTACAAAAAGCAAATGTTAGAGTTTAAACCTTGTACTGCATGGTTTTGTTGTATGGCCAGTTTCATTTGGAGTTATCTGGAGATCTGCTGTGCATCTCTGAAGAAACTGCTCAACCTTTATTAAAATAACATATCTTGCAAAAAAAAAAAAAAAAAGCATTTGTACTGTCATTTGTCTGCATACAGAAGAGAAATTCTCAACTCAATACAACTTTCTTTTCAAGTATAGCATGTGTGTGTTTTTCTGGGTTTTGCGACCCATATTCAGAAAGGTTGGTGTATCACTCAAGATCAGCTCTTCTGAAGGAGATGAATGACTATGTTAGTCTAATATTTATTTTAAATTTTCATAAACAGTCCAGAAGTACAAAAAGAGATTATATTAGTACTTGACTATATGTATACTTAGAAGACGACAACAGCTGTCCCTAACTTACACCATAAAATTATGCTAACTGTATATTGACTGTTCATTTACCTTCGACTGGAATCCTGAAACTGAAAGGCTTTTTTGTTTCACAAAACTGGTCTTTTTTCTTTCTTGGGATAAATGAGAGGACCAATTTTGAATTATTATTTCCTAATCTGATTGTATGTACGTTATACACAAATTTTGCCTTATACACTAAATACAGGATAAATATTAATTGTTTAATTTAAGGCTTTGTTATGCTGCTCTGGTGTGTTCACAGGAAGTGTACCAAGAAACACAGCTGTAGTTAGTGATGTGCATCTTAGACTGATTTGGGTTTTGTTTTTTTTGGGGGGGGGGTGTAAATTATTTTACTGGTGTGTTGCTTCTTAGTTTTATTTTGAATAAATCTCAAAGATTTTTTTTTCATGTCTCCCAGTAACGGAAGTAGTTCTCCGAGACATACGTGCATCTGATCTTTCAGGTTTACTTTGTAACTTTAAAAATGCCTTTTAGTAAAACAATGGGTTTCTTAAGGGTTTCTGGGAATATTTTTCTTTTACTTCAGTAAGATGTGGGGTTGTTTTGGGTTTGTTTTCTTTTGTTTGTTATTAAAATGATGAGAATAAAACAAAGGATATCATAAAATGTTTTTCCTCAAATCATTAAATTAGTTAAAATAGGGAACAGCTCTGTAAATGTGAGAAATGTGAAATTTGATTTTAGCAAGGGAAAATTTAACTATGAAAAGATGTCAGGGTCAAGATCTCAGTCAATCTTAATCAATATACCGTCTCCTCTGTCAAACCTGTCTCGCTAAGCACATTTTGTGTTGTTTGAGTAATTCAAGGAAGAAACAGTCGGTCTCAAATGCGGAGAAGCATTGACTTTAGCATGAGCATGGTACAAGGAGCCTTGGGATAGAGACCATGAGGATTTATTGGGACTGGAAAACTGGGAAAGGCATCTGGGGTTTGGAAATCTTTGAAAAAAATGGAACAGAAGAGAATTCTAAAGAATGAGAATAGGACTCAAGAAATGGCTTAAATATCTCTCTCTGCTTCAATTCTTCCATCTATAAAAACAGCTGTAAAAATGGCATCAGTTCATAGTAGGATTATGAAAATAGAGCTGCTAATAATTTTGCAGTACTGCACAGCTGTACTGACAAGTATCATAAAAGAACTAATTACGCAGTTATCAGAACAGGGTCTGAATAGCACTAGTGAAATTTTGCAGACAGCAGATTTCACAGTGCGAAGGAGAAAAATTGAGCAAGTCTTATTTAGCAAGCATCATTTATCCCACGTGGTAATTGATCTGGGCCCGGTGAAGAAAACGCACTTGTTGAGTTACGTTGTATAGCAATGTATTATTGAAAGTATAACCCTCTGTTTCGTCACTCTGTCCAACTTCTACCATGAACAAAGAGATTGTGCAAGCAGTGTATGCACAAATCATTTATTGCCTATTGCACACCCTAATGGTGTGCTAGAACTAAACAAGCTACTAAGCTCAATGCGCTCGCCACCTCCAGCAAAGCACCTGAGGAGTCTCTGGTTTTGGATGAGGAAGGGTTGGCCTCCGTTGCTTCTGGGAGCGAGCTGGATGACACTAAGTTGCTGTCTTCTAGCTCCCTAGTTTTCCTTAGAGTTTTGTACCTTTTCATGATAGTCTTTTTCCTCTTGAATTCTCAAGCGCTTAACTCTCCTCGTCTCCGCGGTCTTACCAATGCCTGCAGTTGTACTTTTTGTTTCGTGCGTGGCTCTGGTCTATGTATTTTCATAGCTGTTTCTGAGATATTACTGATTTCTCAGAAATCTGAGCCCAGGGCTATACAGAGGCACTGAATCGATGCTAAGCCTTGCATTACAGCTGAACCCCTAGGAGGGAGTTAATAAAGGAGCCTCTGTAGCTGCATAGAAAACCTTGAAGTCTTGTATTACCTGGCTCTGGAGCACCTTACTTGGCAACCTTAATTTTCTTTAAGACGACTTTGTGGTATAATAAATTATATAGTATATTCACTGAAATGTATAATAAAGCTCTTCATTTTAACATGTTTCATGTTAAGTATTTCATGACAAAAATTGTTCTTCTGAAAATATATTCTGAATATTAATAAAGCTGAAGCATAAATTTATAGTTTTCCTTAAAAAAAGAAAAAAGTTTCTAACAAATACATATACAACATAGGCTCATGTAAGAGAAATATAATTCATTCCACAAAGTTGGTTTCAGAATTTGGCTATTACTCCACAGAGATTGAATGAAAAGAGAGGTGTTATTTGATTCTTTCCATATAGTTGAACTTGAAGACTAATTGTTGATTTCTTTTGGTTCTACATAAATTTTATAGATATGGTGTTGGGCTTTTTTTCATTTATTGTAACAGCCTGAAAAGCTTCCCAAAACTCAGTCTGGATTTTAAGATTTACTATTTTCTGTGGGGATTACATGTAGGAGATAGGTGGGTAAAGACTAAAGGCTAAGCATATTATCAGTGTAATTTTATAAAAAGTGAAAACTTCTGCATTCTGTCAACTCAGATTGAAAAACGGTGAAAGTAGATATAGTTCTAATGATTTTGATAATTAAGTGCAAAGCGAAACTAGTAATTGAGAAGAAATTCCTGTCTGTCTTTATTTTGTGATTAATCAATCACGTTAGATTAGAAAATGAACTGAAAAAATAAGGCATCCATTGTAAGAGGAAATAAATGCTCATGTTTTAAGACTTTAAGGAACGGACAGTTCTTGGTTGAGATCAGGAATATTTATGCCAGGAGGAATCATTTTGATGTGGTGCACCTGTACTTTGCGATGACCTTATGGCAAGTATTTAATGTTTCTTCCATCCTTCTTATTTCTGAAGGAGTTGGAGCAGCAGTTTGAGAAGGAGAAACTGCATTTGGAGGATGATAAGAATCAGCTCCGCCAGCAGCTGGAAAACCTGAAGGAAGAGCTGACAACAAAACTGACTTCTGCCAATCAGGAGGCAAGGGTTAACTTAATCGTATCAGCTAACGGTCATGTGCACTAGACCACATTTCACCAGTAATGATCTTGTGCTTACAGTCCAGTACAGAGCTAGGACTACGCTGTTCAGTCTGGTTTGTCCCTTATTTCTGTTTAAAGTGGAGTATTCTTTAAATGTGATAAATTACTTGACCGTTTCTGAGCACTGATTTTATTGGCCTTTAGAAAATCAACAAAGCAAACGAGATTGAGGTACAAAACAGTTGATGTAAACACCCTTTCTTGTTCTAACTCTGCTTATTTCTCATTAGGTACAGAGACCTCTACACAAAATACATCAGGAGGCAGAGGGAACGTTAACTGTATTTAAACCCATATTTGTTTACAATTAACATATTGTAAATTCTGGTCAGCTTCCTGACTTGCAGGTGATCTTTATATATTTCCATCAAAAGATGACATGAAATACTTATTTGTAATAAGACCCAAATTATTTGCAATGTTTTGATACATGCAATCAACGTTAAATATATCATACCTCAGTACAGTTTTAATTTTTTGAGTTTGAAATCACCACCTTTTCATAATATAACTTTTTTAAACTAGAAATATATTCTTACTGATATCGAAAACATCAATCCATTCTTGTCTGAAACTTCTGCCTTGTTTCAAGAAAATAATTCATTAGCTTCATTGTTCAACAGGCCATACATATGATTTCAGTGTGTGCTTTAGGACAGACTTAAGCATGAATTTAAGTACTTTTTTGCAGTGATACTTTTTGTTACCATTTTCTATACCCTACAAGGTGGCAGGTGTTTGTCTAATTCCGGTGGCTTGCAATTTGCGAAATGTTAAACTTGCTTTAGAACAAAACTGCTTGTTTTTAATAAATGAGTAAGATGGCCTTTCTGGAAGTATATATTAAATTATTATGACGATGATATTAAAGTATGTATCCTTATATGTTAAAACATTATATATTGATATATTATTAATTAATATATCAGTACATTGCTACATTAATATACATGTTAGTGTATTAAATTATTATATATTAAAGTATATATTTTGAAAGTATATTTATTTTATTTATATATATATTTATATACACTAATATACACTTTCAGAGTAGTACCTACCAAGTGTGTGTGTGTGTGTGTGTGTGTGCATACCCCAGATAATACATGGTAGCATCTTTAGAGCTCAGCAGCGCTGCTGCTCAGTCAGTCGTGAGTACCTGTTAAACAGGAGACTGTACTTCGTTCTGATAGTCGTGAGTGCCTTTGCCAGTACGTAAGACCTTGGAAAAGGTGTAAATTGAAGCTGGAACTGCTCTTGCTCTCTTAACAGTATGCTTACCTACATTCAAAATAACAAAAATGTGATGTATCTGTTATATATGTTAACAAAATCATACATGGGTTTATTTTGCCTTTCAAAATTACAGAAAGTTTTGTTATTTCTTTTTAGTTTTAACTTCCTCTGCTGTATGTTAACTTTCCTTGTTGCTGGATTAGATCTGAGGAGAGCGCTATTGTCGTTCTATTGTCATTCAACACTGTAGGTTTTAATTTAGTTACTCTTCATCAGCTTCTCTTCAGTTCATGAGTAATAAACTTACTCCTCCTCCTTTAAGGAAATAACTTCAAATATGGTAAGAATGAGTTTTCATTACCTAACTGCTATCGAGTTCAGGCTTGGAAAATTCATCAGCACACTGAATAAAGAAGACAGAGGCATAGCTAAGGAATAGATTAACTCTAACATCAACTAAAGTAAAGAATTAGGGCCAGCTGCTATTTAGTAATTTAGTTTATATGCATTCTTATGCCAGGATAAATGTAACACGGTGTATTTTGCATATTGAGAGAACGAGAGGAAGCATACAGGCAATAAATTCAGGGTGGTCTGTAAATCCACTCCGTGTAGTACAGAGGCGATATGTTTTATTTTATTACTATGTTTATCTTAAGCACATGAGACGAGTGCTTCACTTGCAACCACAGCTTACTCATAGATCTCTATTGACAACTGACAAGAGTTTCTCAATGTCTTTCACTGACCTGGAAGAAACTTCCCTGTGAAACGTCTGGCACAGCTTTAGCTTAGCTCTTACATTTCTACTGCTGCTTCCTTTTTTGTTTGCTGCAGATACCATTTAACAGTAGGCATATATTTATTACTTTCTGGGGATGTTAGCTTAGTTCTAGCTTCCCTGCTGAGAAAGCTGGTTTTGAACCTACGCCATCCTCTTTTCTTTTTGACAGACTTTTTGATAGCAATTATCTTAGCTGCAGGCTGAGGAAGATTCAAGCCTCATTAGGCTTGCTCCTAGTACCAAGCTTTTTAAGAACAGTGTAATCTTAAATACTTGCCAGAGATTTTTTTTGAGAGCTCACGTTAAGTCAAGATACTGACTTTCTCCCATGTATCTCAGGGTGAGGCTGGCTGTTTACTCTGCAGATTTGCTTCCTTTCACTGCAGACCAGCCAAGACCTTTTAGGAAGACTCTGTTTGTGTCACTTGACAGAGTAGTCAAAGGACTGGCCATCTCCATGCAAAGGATTTCCGATGATATTACTAAGGATCATTTTAAACAGCCTCCAGCATTGCTCTGTCATCAGTCGAATAGACGTAAGCCCCAGGAGTGGAGGACTGCTGTTCACGGTTCATGCAATGTTTCACGGTGTGCTGCTACCAGATACGTAGACAGTGGTGCACTTTGAGGATATCAGTACAGTTTTAGGGGCAGTTTTTCACGTAGGGATTCTCCTTCAGGTAGTAGCGCTTTGTAGGGAATTACTAGTTGTTTGTATATAATGCAAAGGAGCACATAGACAAGTGCTCAAGATTACATTAGTTTTTCTCTGAGATCTGTCATGCCAAGGAAATTTGAGATCCCTTGCTGAGAGGGTGGGAGGAGTCCCTCTTTTTAAACACTTCATGGGTTGCATACAGAGGGAGAGAGAGTTCTGGAAGGGGTGTGTGTGTGCCCATGTATGTTATAAACAGTATTTGCATATAATTATGCTAACAAACAGAAAGAGTAGTTATAACTGTTACCTGTTCGTATCTACAAACCAAAGGTTAGTCTGTCCTTGGGGCGCTTATCCCATTGTCAATGGATTTATCTCAACATACAAAGGCAATGGCATAGACTACTACTTCTGCAAAAACTTCAGTTCCCATTAGCTGCTCTTCTTTGGTCCCCTCTGCCTCCCATTATTCTTTTTCCAGCCTACATATTTAAAAAGTTTTTCCTTTCGCATAGCTGGTGAACAATGTTCAATCTCTAATATTTTTACTTGAAGCAAAGAAGTATAGTATCATAATTTTACAGACGGGGAGCTGAAGCACAAACAGGCAGAAAAAAGTGTATTTTGTTACACAGCAATTAAGGAAATTATCACATTTTACTTTACAGATATTAGATTGAGCTTTCAACAGGCTAATTTATGGACGGGTAGCAATCTGAAAACAGAGAAGTATATACCCTAGCACAAGTTAATTTATCCATTAGATTAGAGTTTATATATTTTGAAATACCAGTTCTCGTTATTTCAGTTTGCATAAAACACATAAACTTTCCCAGAGTAAAGTTACAGGTAATTTCAGAACTTCTACGTAACCTTTTTTTATTGCAAAATGCTTCAAACATAGGTTGGATTTTTTTTACTTGTAAAAATTCTTTAATTGAATCTTTGTTTGGTTTTATAATATTACAGGAATTTGTTTTTTAATACAGAAACATTAAGTGATATTAAAGGAGAACAGGCTGTGCAAATAAAAATTTGTCTAGGTTGGAATTAGAAAACACTGGAAGAAAATGAAACCAGAATGACTTGGCTGCCATTAGTAATAATTATGGAAATTACATCTTTTTTGTATGTCATAGGTGTGTCGTCTGCAAGACCTAGTACGAAAAAGTGAACAAGGCCTTGGTACTGCAGAAGGACATATCTCCAGTCTTCAGGAAGCTCAGGAAATACTCCAGAAAGAACTGGAATTAACTAGAGCAAGACTGCGAGAGACCACAGATTCATTGTATAGTGTTGAGGTAACCATAATGTTGGAGAATAAATTGTACAAAGTGCAGTCACAGTGATTTTGGTCTTGTTGTTAAAATGGCAAGAAGTATTATAGTGTACACACTATTGAAGGAGCTTCATACGGCTTCATTAAAGGAGAGATTTCTCTTTTTATTTCAAGCAGAGAGGAAAAAAAATGGAAAACTAGGATGGGCTGGTTTGGGGTTGGGTTTTTTTTTGGTTGATTAGTTGTTTTGGGGTGGGTTTTTTGTTTGTTTGTTTTCAGAACACTTTTAGTATTTAACGGGTATTGCTGCAAGCACATCTTTCTGTGGTTCATGTAAACTGTAGCTGTCAAAGTATGTCCATACAAAATATATCCAGAGTTGGATTTTTCAGAGGCTTAAGAGAATTTCATGAGAATGTAAAAAGGATATGTGTTATACCAGTGCTATTCCAGACAGTTTCATGTCTTGGTGCAAAACAAGATCTAGAGCTTACTTGCTCTAGAATTCACTGAAACCTTTTTAATTTTTTTTATGCATGCATACCATATTTTCCACAAGTAAGGGGCGCAGTCTTCATTTCAAGCTCAAATTTAGAATTTCAGAAGATGCTCGAAAATACTTTAAAGATCTATGCTGTGATATCTTGAAAGATAGTAGACTATCATCCAGAAAATGCGACCACTTTATACAATCGAAGCAATTAATTTGTCTAAGCACATAACATATATATTGCCATTTTAGTTTGTTTAGATAGAACTGGAGCTGTCAGTTAATTTGTTAATAGCTCATTGACTTTAATACTAAGTATAACCTTTCCTTTTTCTTTCCTCGGTAAACAATGTGCATTTACAAGATCACAGCAACATTTGAAGTAGAGCAGCAAATATTAAAAAACAATTTCACTGAATCTGTTTTCATAATGGTGTTATTTTCTTAACAAAAACAGCGTGAAACAGGGTATTGGTGTATACATTTATTTATTTATTTATTTATTTATTTATTTCAGCTATGGTCATTACATGTGCACCCTATTACACTTTGTAACTTCATCTGTATTTTTTATAATTTCTCTAAGTGTCCATATGAGCTACTGCATTCTTCTCTCTTCACCTATTATAACATTTATATATTCATATATAGCAGGTTACTGGCAATAACATTTATCTTAACAGATTTTAAAATATATAAATGAAAAAATCCTACAGAAAAATTTTCACTTTAAACAGTCTTAATTAAATTTAGATGGCCATGTTTGCTTCTCATGAATGAAGCAAGCGCTGCTGAAAAACACTCATGTAAGTATGATTTCTAGGTAGTACCTAATACTATTCTAGTATGGTAAAATGTGAACAGAAATTGATAGGAATTTTAAAGTGTTTTTTCTGTGTTCAGACTGTGAAACCCTGTTTCTAGAAGGTTTGTCCAGTCAAGAAACAGAAAGAGGATACATGAACTTTGTATAAAATCCAGATAGCTCAAGCTTTGAAATTCAAATACTGAATATTTGCTGCTTTAAAAAAAAAAAAAATCCCAAACATGCTTAACAAGAGCCTAAGTAACCTGCTCTAATTCTGAAGTTAGTCCTGCACTGAACAGGACTTGATGACCTTTTGAGGTTCTTTCCAACATAAATTATTCTGTGATTCAATGTAACAGTATTCGAAAAGATTACTTCCAGACTGACTTATTGGAAAATTGCTTTTTATAGCTTTTTATAGGAATGCAGAATTCTGTTCTACAAGTAAGAAGTATCAGGAGATGTATAGGCATTAATTGTGTGCAGTTAAGAATTACACACTGAAAAAGTTACAGTTCAAGTTTTATGAGCTAATTGTAACTGACATTTTTATTATAAATACACTCGCTTAAGGTTTGAAATACTTTTTTGCTGCTGATCAGTCTCTATTGTGAAGTTTGTGTTTGCAGGGAGAACTAGATCAGGAGAGACAACAGCACGAGGCAATGATTGCTGCCATGAGAGAAGAGGAAAAGTTCAAGGTTGACAGAATGGCTCGTGACTTGGAAATAAAATGGACAGAAAATCTTCGGCAAGTATTAATTTTTTTCTTTTATTCTTTAAGAAATGAAGTATTTATTACATGCAAATGTAATAGCAAATGAAACGTAAAGCAAAGTTTTTGTGTTCAGTTTTGGGCCCCTCACTACAAGAAGGACGTCGAGGTGCTGGAGCGTGTCCAGAGGAGGGCAATGAAGCTGGTGAAGGGTCTAGAGAACAAGTCTTACAAGGAGCGGCTGAGGGAGCTGGGGTTGTTTAGTCTGGAGAAGAGGAGGCTGAGGGGAGACCTTATCGCTCTCTACAACTGCCTGAAAGGAGGTTGTAGCGAGGTGGGGGTCGGTCTCTTCTCCCAGGTAGCAAGCAACAGGATGAGAGGAAATGGGCTCAAGTTGTGCCAGGGGAGGTTTAGATTGGATATTAGGAAAAATTTCTTCATGGAGAGAGTGGTTGGGCATTGGAACAGACTGTCCAGGGAAGTGGTGCAATCACAGTCCCTGGAAGTGTTCAAAAAAACGTGTGGATGTGGTGCTTAGGGACATGGTTTAGAGGTGGACCTGGCAGTTAGGTTAACGGTTGGACTCGATGATCTCAGTTGGTCCTTTCCAACCTTAATGATTCCATGATTCCATGAAAGGTTTCCGTTATTATCTAAGCTTTTCCAATTATTAATGAGTTCTTAATTCTTTTTAAGTTCTTGCACAAGATCCACTGCATTTTAGTTATTTGACCTTTGCTTTTAGACAGGAATGTAATAAGCTTCGTGAAGAGCTGAGGCTGCAGCATGAAGAGGATAAGAAGGCAGCCATGACTCAGCTGTTGCAGCTGAAAGAACGTGAAAAAAATGCAGCAAGGGATGGATGGCAAAAAAAAGTTGAAGATCTTTTAGACCAGGTAACTATTATCTCTTTGAGAATTGGAATGCCATTACAATTTCATTGCTGGTGGTTTGTTACCAATTAATTACATGAAATTGGTTGTGACATCTGTCTTTGAAATGGAATTTGTTAGCATAATGCTTTTTAAACCTAATCATTATTGAACGTTTTAAGTAATATATGAAGATGCATTAAAATTACATGAATGTCATTCTTTACACTAAATGTGAATAAAACTTTTTACAGGTTTTTGGGGGGAGCGGGAGGGTATTGACAGTCTCACCTCTTCACTATAAGATTTATTTTTTTTTTTCATATTCTGTCTGCTCACCTATTCTACTGTAAATATTTACCAATGCTAATTGTATGGACTTGGAGGTATCCTTCATCTTTACAATAATGACAAGTCACTGGAAAGTCAAAATGCCCCTCAGTTTCTATGACACATTTATTACAGCTATGTCTTCTCTTAAGTGATTTTGAACATTATTTTGGGATAATTTTTTGTAAATACTGTTTTTTTTTTTTTCAATTGCAACTCGTATTTATAAACTCAGTTATGTTAGATAATTCACAGAAAATACTTGCTTTGTACTTTTTCCAAACCACAAATGCTATAGAACTGGTTTTATTGGCTACAGTTTGAAAGAATAGCTGATAATGAACAAATACATTTTAAAGTAAGAGAAGCAGATTTTGGAACTCATTAAATGACTGCAATTTCAGGGTGTTATTCTGGGATGGCTTTTAATTTGCTGCCTAATTTGAGAAGTCTAATAACTGAACATGCATTTGATTATACAGCATCTTATAGGAACACATAACAATTTATTTTGCTGACACGGGAATTTAAGCTTGTAAAATCTTGTGGTTTGGGCTCGTAAAAGCTGGGGGTTTTCAAAGTTCTTGGTCTGTTACTTTTTACAACATGAATGTAATAAGACTTGGACTCATTTGATTTTAAGTTTCACTTACTGCCTTTACCCAAGCTTCATTTACTCTCTTTACTTCCACCTATAAATAGCATTTTCTCTAGGAAAGTAGAATTTGAAGGGAATTTGTTAAACTTTCTGTAGTTTTAACATACTTTTAAAATACTTTACTTAGCTCTACCTTTCAAAAATACCATAATAAATCTAACCTACAGTTTCAGAATGGAAAATTAGTATGTTGCAAATGAACAATTTTTTTTTGCATATGGAAGAAATTTTGGAATCAGAAAGCTAACTGTAATAAGGACAATTTTACTAGAGAATTTGCAGACATAGGAAATGGTCTGCATATGCAAAATGGCTGGGTGTTTTTTCTTCATTCCTGCACCATTTCATAACAGCATATGCGTTCAGAGGACTAGTAAGAAACTAAACCCTGGGAGTCTTCACTTTTTTTTGTTTTGTTTTTTTTTTTAATCCAGCTGTTGCTTTTCCATACCAGTGTTTGAGTTGGACAGGTGTTTCATAAAGATCGAAAAGTTATTGTTGGTGGTAAGGAATTAAGCTTTCCCTCTGTAAGAACCTACATTTTATCCATTACACCTGGAGGAGAGAGAATTCCAGACCATAGCGTACAAGATGGGTAACTTAACTCTTAGAGAAATGGGTTTGTAGTGAGTTCCTCCCGACTGCAGCACACAAAGGGTATCTTGTGAGAGTTGCACTGACCTGAATCATAGAATCATAGATTTACTTAGGTTGGAAGAGACCTCAGGAGGTCATCTAGTGCAACCTCCTGCTCAAATCAGTCAACACTGAATTTGAACTAGGTTGCTCAGGGCTTTTTCCAGTCAGGTCTTGAATAACCTCCATGGATGAAGATTCCACAGCCTCTCTGAATAATCTCTTCTAGTGCTTTATTATTCTCATAGTGAGTGTTTTCTTTATAATTGGACAGAACCTCCTCTGTTTCAGCTTATGGTCATTGTCTCTCATTGTCCTGTTGTGCACCACTGTAACGAGACTGGGTCCGCTTTCTCTGTAACCACCTCATAGGTACTGGAAAGCTATTAAGTCCCACAAAACCTTCTCTTCTTTAGACTGAACAAACCTAGTTCCCTCAGAACGATATATGTTCCAGTCCCAGCCATCTTGGTGGTAGCTCTCTACTGAACCTGTTCAAGTTTATCAACGTTTGTCTTGTACTGGGGCAACCAAAGCTGAATGAACTGGAGGAGGAGACGGAATGTGCCCTCCAGGTGATGTGCAACAAGTGCCAATCCAAAGGGACAGAACCCTTCCCTCAAACTACTGGTCGTTGCTACAGCCCAGTATGCTGCTGGCATTCATTGCTGCCGGGCCACACTGCTGATTCTTGTTCAGCCTACCGCTGACTAGGTGATGCAAAGCAGATCTGTAACCCAGTATGAACCAGTGCAGGGGTTTAGTCCGTCCCATGTAAAGGACTTTGCATTTGTCCTTGTTGAATTTTGTGAGGTTCCTATGGGCCCATACCTATAACATATATAGGTCCCTCTGGATGGCAGCCCTACCTTTCAATGTATTGTGTCCCCTCCACTGTGCTGTGCTCCACCTTCTACTCCTCCCATTTTGGTGTCATCCACAAACTCCATGAGGGTACTATCTGTCTCCTCCTCCAGATCATTGGTAAGGTACTAAAATGAATAGGTCCTGGAACAGACACCTTAGGAACTCTACTTGTAACAAGCTTTCAGATAGAGTGAACCATTAACTGCTACCCTTTCAGCCTGATAATCTGGACAGTTCTCGTCTATCTGATAGCCCACCCATCTGAATTGTGGTACAATCAGATACAAGGATGTTAAAAATCTTGCTGAAGTCGAGATCACAAACATCCACTGCTCTTCCCTCATCCGCAGATCTAGTCATTTTGTCATGGAAGAAAATCAAAGATAGTATTTTCATTATGGAAATGAAATTTCTTGAGAGAAAATGCTGTTTAGCTGATAAGTGCTTAAACACGTTCTTGCTGGTTCTAGCTCTTTCCATTTCTCATAGCTGTGTAATGGGCTTTTAATGCTTTTCTTAAAACCATTTTGCTGCTGAGAAGGCTTCAGCCATGGACGAAATAGCAGGAATTTTTGTTTTTAAAGCGTAAGTGTGTTCTCTCTTCTGCCTCCCTGTGTTGCACAATCTTCAATTCTGGGCACTGAAATGTCCAGGTTAAGACCTGTATTCTTATCTCTTCCTTCTTTTGATAAATGTTTCTTTCTGTAAACTGAATCAAGTGTTCTGAGTGTGGATGGGCTTTCCTATGTTTGAGCAAATATTGGTTCTCCCATCTTCCTTACTTTCCAGTAAAATGTGTTCCAGTAAAATAAATGTTTTTGTCAGCTTTTTTTTTCCATTCTTATATAGCTTCATACTATTATGTGACCAAGCATTAGTGTGACGTTCTTCTTTCTAACTTTGTCAACTTTTCGCACACGAAGATACCATCTTCTATTAATGGAAATATTAGAAGTAGTGCAGTGAGAATGGACAAAAATATACTACATACACTTTGGTAGCTGTTGTTTATTTTTCCTGCTGCAAAGATTCTCTCCTTTTGTGAAAAAATTGTATAAGTTTCCTATTCAGAGTTTGTTTCTATGATGGTGTTTTCCTTTTTAAACTGTCAAAGTAAATATGAGAAACTTTGATTTATATAAAAATGTAACTGTTTCCTTCTGATGTAGACATGATTCAAATTGTAGTTTTTAGAAAATTTCAAGCTCAATCTTAAAACCCTGGCCACTGAGTATACTCTTGTTCGTGAAGTGGAGCGTTGTAGAAAAGTCACAGAGCTCCTGTGCATATCTGTAAAGGACTGTTGACCAGGCTTCTACCCAAGGGCAGTTATTGCTCCACCTGTATTTGCCTGTGTGGAGGTGCTTATCGCAGAGCTGACGTGCATCCACATTAGCAGAATCGGGAAACGCTCCTTTCTTTCCCCAGCACAAGGATTACTGGCCTGTTGCACGGCCTGGGCAATCCTTGTTTTAGAAGATTTTCTGTCGAATGGATGCTGGAAATTTCTACAAGAAATAACCTGCACGTACCCCGTATCAGTTTCCTGAAAGAAAGGAGATTAACTTCCCGCACAGAATCACTTTGTTTTGCTTCCTGTCACTTGATATAGTCCTGAACACACTGTGTAAAAGCTTGTCTGTCACACACAGAGAAGTAAATTTCAAGTAACTTCTCCATCCTAATTCTCTCTGGTCATTCTTGTATTCAATAATACTAGTAAGGCTACCATGACATCTAGTGGATGGTAAAGGGTTTTGGGCAAGATTTAAAAAGCACTTAGAAATCTAAAATGCTGAAATCCAAAAGAATAAAAAGAAAAATCCATACCAACAAGGGAGGAAAGAGCGGAAGGCACCTGGAATGCAGTTCAGGGTAAGGTTTTATGTCTCTTCTTTCATCTGCAGATATTTGTTGTTTTCCAAAGGGGCACCACTTTCTGCAGCTCTTAGAAACTTTTCAGAAGTGACTACAGCTCTCAAAACTGTGGTCTTAATGGGACTGTGCTGCAACTCCTGTGGGCCTCACAGAGAATCAGGGGAGCTTCGGGAGTTTCTGCCTAGATCCAGTGTCTGTAGCCATCCTGCCTCTCACCACTGATTTAAGGAATCAGTACTCCTGTATTCTAACTGGGAAAACTATGCTTTAAGCCAGTCAAAAACTGTTGTACATGAGCATGTGAATAATCACGTAACCCAGAGTCACTGCAGCCCTCCGAGGGCCGTCTATTGAGGGTGCTTCCCCCTGTTTCATGACTGTCTGTACTTCTCAATGAAGAATCCCTCTTGTCCCGGGCTCCCTGTTCTATGCAGAGATGTGATCCTGGAGATTGGTTGGCGCATTTGTTCTATCCACGTTGGTCATTGCGGTTTTGTCTGAAGCTTGAACATGAAAACAAATGCCTAACATTCAGCTGTACTATCTCTTTTTCTGAGCTGTTAGCTGTGGTGAGCCCATTCAGCCCGTACTCTGCTCTCTTCATTATTTTACTCTTTGTTTAAGATTCTGAACGTAACAGAGGAAATTCATTAAA